ATCTTTTCCGTGTAAACAGTTGTGGTATAGTCAGGATCTCTTCTTGTTATTAGTACATCAAGAATGGTATTTTAGATTTGTTTCCAATTTCCGTTGTAAATTTGATCGGGGAATGTAATATTAGAGAGATTTCAACTGAGTTATTCAACAACCTGTGACTAACGTGAAGGCGTCGTGGACATAGCGGAGACAGACGAGCACTTTTGAATTAATATTCCTGATTAATTTGATATAGATTATGAGTGATTTCAAAGTTAGACATGAATTTTTAAGCAAAACGTCGCAACCGTAGGCGAACCGCTTGTCACACCGCGGTCGCATGTTTAATTTTCTTAGTTGACACTGATTGATAATATTTATTGCTTTTAGTGCATTTCTGGATAGTCAGTTTGAAAGAATTATCGCCATTCGACACCTGTTTTATTTTGAATTAGAAAAATCTAAAACTATCTAGTAATTTTTGACGAGACCTCTTTGTTTGATTGTTCTAAACGACAACTAGAAAACCTAGGGCATCAATATGTTTCGAAAAGCAACAAATCTTATAACAACAGCTGATAATAAAATAATATGTTTCAGGAAAACCGTTTAGAAAATCTTACATACTGCTAAGCGTATTCTGCTGCCATCACATTTTTGATTTTAAAAAGTTAGTTATTGACCTATGTGGTTTATACCATCCACTAAGGACATTCAAAAATATACGATCAAAATCGAATACTAATCGAACAACATATCAAGCTGAGATTTTTAAGAACAATACCACGGCCTAAAGGCATTGTTAATCATAATCACACTCTGTATTAAAAATTTAATTAGAAATCGTATCCGCAATCCGAAATTCAAAGTTATCGCATCAGTTGTAGTAGACAAATACCGAGAGAACATTCCTGATTGATTCCTAAAGATTGGCTAACGCTACTTAATGTAATTTTATTCAGTAGGTTTTCACTTGTTCTGTAATATTTTTTAACTACGAGAATCCGTACGTTCGATGAGCGAATATCTTCTCGAAATCTTACACTCAACCTGATTTTAGATAGACAACAATCTGTGGTAAAATATTAGCTTCTTGAAATACAGCTAGTTCATCGAATTTAGCATCCTTAGACATGAGCGGTGGTCTAAAATCATTCTGATCAATGGGAACATAATGGCACTGGTAGTTTTTGTAATTTCCTTTTCCATAGAAGCGAAATTTCGCTGGTTCCATGTTTGACGGGCAATCTGAATAAACGATCGGAAATGGATTTAAAATCAATATGTAACACAATATTAAACATCCATCGTCCCCACTATAACGAAGAGCATATTCGGCACTGGAAGTAAAATACATGGCTTTACCATACCATCCATCGTCTTTTGTTCCCAATGTGGCAATACCATCTGATAAAAGATCAGAAAGTGTTTTACGCGAACATCCGTGCCACATCCGAACTATTCGAGCTTTTCTATTATGTGCTACACTTGGGAATTGCGCTTGAAGCCGTTTTAACACATTAATTCGTTCTTCCTGATCATTTTCGATTGATAAATTTGGCTGAAAAGCAGATTTTTCTTGACGGCATTCAACAGTTTGTAATTGATTTAAAAATAATCGATAACGAATCGGATTAAAAATCAATTCAAGTTTTTCAATTTGAACGTTACGTGGTAGAAACCCAATCCATTCACGTACACGACATCGAATTTGCGAATGGCGGTCAGATTGTAGGTCACAAGATGACACATGCTCAGTCTTAGTTTCTTTGAGAGAAGAATACTCAACTGGAGGAGTGAAGTCGCCCTGAAATTGACAGTAAAAGTTTTTCTTCTCTTTAATTGGATCGTCCATATTCGAGTCGTCAGGAGGAGCAGTAGTATCCTTGGAATCGTTTACTCCCAATTTTCTAATTGACCAAGCATCAGAACAAAGTGCAGGATTGGTCATATAGTCGTACGGTATATAGCAGTCACCGCGATCACCCTAAAACATAGTACACACTGACGACACCAATGTTTCAGCTACAACGGCCCTTAAAAGTTGCTCGATCGGACATCAAACACACCTAAGGTTTAGGGCTAATTCAAGTATTAAACAGACCACTTTC